TAATTTTTTAAAAACTAACTACTTCGGTGTTCTTCTCGAAAGTTGCTTTATTTTTCAAATATTTTCGACAGATATCAAAGAAACTGGCTTTGGATTTTCAGCCTGTCGTCTCTTGTACCTTCAACATTTTTTCGACATCTTCAGAGGTCTGCTGCTCAGTCAGTCCGTACCGGTGTTCCATAAAGCTGGTTTCCAAATTTTGTTGATAATCATAGTTTCTTCGGCTGGCGAAACTTTTTTAAACAGATCACAAAACGCAACACATGTTTCGCTATACAATAGTTCCTTGAACTATAGCTATACTATTGAATATAGACATGCCTGAAGAAGATATTGTATAGAGAAACACGTGTTGCATTAATGTAAAACAATGTAGTGAAAATCTCACAATAAAGTGTTTCTTGAATACGTTTTGGATTTTCATCAAGTATCGTGTGGATTCCATCATCTTTTTGGGAAAGATTATTTTACGCAGTAACTTATAGAAGTTTGACCGTTTGAGGCCTGTATAAAACTTTTCATTGCTAATTTTCATTTTTTCAGATTGTGGAAATTGAGAAGCCCTAGAGAAGGTCAATAAAAATATTATTCTGAAGTAATTGTGAGACTTTACTAACTCTAACGTGGATTCACATTCCAAAATTTCTGGAACACGCTGTTATATGAACTTTCTCAATCCATTTCTGTTAACTGTGTTGTGATCATGCAATTACCGCAAATGATATTAGAATATATTTAAGGATCTTCATGATTTCAATAAGGGTGTTTGGTTCAGATAACGTGAAGACTTTTTCTTGACTTGTTGATTTATATGAAGGCCTAGATTTTGTACATTTATATATTTACATGAAAACGACACAAATTTGGATATTACATGCCCTTCTAGATATAGTTTTACAAATATGTGTAAATAAATTCTATCGAATTTGAACTTGACTACTCTTGCAACTTCGTATTGAAATAATCCTGGAGAAGGAAGTGATTATGAAAAAATGGTGTTTCAAACTAGAGTTGTTTGTTTCTGATGGAAATCAGATAACTGATAAGGAAAAAATGTGATTTTAGTCAACTGAAGAATATCGAGTATTCAAAAAATATTTGGAAGAATTCGAAAGCTTTTAGTGATTCATACATATCAACGTTGATATTATTTTTTTCTCAATTATTATACTTGTACGAAAAAAAGGTGACATAAATTCCAAAATTAATGTTTTAATCAACTCCTCAATCCCATAAAACTTATATTTCATGATGCATTGAGAGAAATATTTAATTGCTTGAAGAAGAACAATTCTTATCTACAAAACTTATGTTGAGTAGAAAGGGGTATATTTTTAGATGAGATTAATTTTTTGGGAAAGAAAAGATTCGACTTTCTACTTCTCCATCTTTATACAAAAAATGTGTGAATCTTCAAAAATAAATCCTTTACAAAAATGTGTAGATCATGTAAAGAAGTAACTTTCAAACGTAAACTGGAAATTCAAAAGTTGACATTCCAGTTGAAATGAGTCGTTCGACATTGAGACTAAAAAACCTGATAATTTCTTTCTGTAAACTATTTACATGACTGCGTTTATAGACTTTTTCCCATAGAAAAAAGTTCGGTGGATTCAAACCAGGGGGTCTCGGTGGCTCAACTGTTGAATCTCTCCTTCCATCCATCGACCTGGAAAGTTGGGGTTGTGTTTTCAGTAACCTTGAAACTTTCAAATTAAATTTGAAAATTATTTAAAAAACTACATTTATTATCACTCAAGTGCGATCTTAGGATTAACGAGATTACTTTCTAACATACAATTTGTAGCACGCTTCAGGCGATAAACAGTGAAGATTTATCGAGAGTAAGGGTCGAACTTGCATTCACAATAGTAGTTAATTCAACGAGAAGAACTATAACCAACCATCTGAATGCCGGGGCGCATTATCTTCAAAATATCTTTTTTTATTGCCCACCATTGATACTGGATGTATCACAACTAATAAAATCAATTATGCATAGACAAATATATATTTAAAAGAATATGATTCTGCTTTCAATATCTTTGAGGGAGAAAGTACTTTCCACGTAGATACTACAACTTACATTGCTGCAACTATATTAGATACTTGGGAAATGTCGTTTAACCGTCTGAAGCACAACTACTGATCATTCAATCAATTAAAAATTTCTCCAACACCAGAACAAAATACTGTATCTCGACGCGCTTTTCACTAACCAAGTTAGCATCATTAGGAGATGACTAGTGGGTAGTACATTTTTATGGCCACTTTAATGATAGGTAGCTGTAAAAGTATAATTCCATTCATCACCTGATTATGTTTTCTTAGCGAACTGAGCAATGAGAGGCAGAATTTTGTTTCGATGTAGTGAAAATGTTTTTGATTGATTCATTCTACGTATCATGAACGTTCAAGTTCAATGACCACGACAAACGGTTCCGTATGTTACTAATTAGGTTTTTAAACCAGAGAAGGAATCACCTATTTCCAGGTGGGTGTTTAATTGAAGAAACTTTCTTTAATCAACATAACACAAATGATATTTTAAGTTTTGTGACAGTATAACGTTCAGCTATATTGTGGTTTTGTCAACAGTAGCGTCATGTTATATTATTATATATTTACTTAAATATCCTATGGAACAAGGCCAGAACATCTCTAGATAATAAGAAGAAAATGAATGTGACCACTTTTACTTTGAGAGAAGAAGACTTTGACAACCGGGGTTGGGTAAAAATGTTATCTACGTAAACAAATTTTGAATTTTGATATATTTTTGAGATGGTTTTAAAAAGGACGAAAGGTTACCAAGACATAGATGAGAATAATGGATCTCTGCCGTCGACTGCTGGTTCAGAATTGGATCCAAGCAGTATTATACCACAAGAAATTGAAATGGCATCCGTTTCTGTAGTACCTGATGGTAAGAATTTAGTGTATAAAAGGGACAGAATTCACACTGTGATTTCTAGATACCTTTACTGTGACGCAAGCTGTGAATGCTCTAGGATTTGGTTGGTTTCAAGTGAAACTATCTTTGTGGACTGGTCTCTGTTGGATGGCCGACAGTATGGAAATGACAATTTTATCTATACTTTCTCCAGCCCTTCATTGTGATTGGCATATATCTAGGTATATATTCAATTACTGCTCTCATTTTCAATAAGGAATTGCTGATTTTTTTCTGGTCAGTAAAAAAAAATGTATACCACTTCCTGAACAAAAGTTTGGAAATATTTAACAAATCAGGACTGGTTGATCATTGAAGTTATTTCCGTCATTATTTTCCCTCTAGTAATTATTACTTATATTCTAAACTAGTCTGCACTGTCACCAACACAGTAAATGTATTGTAATAAATCCAACTACTATTGCTCTTGTTAGAAAATGAACATTTCAGTTGGAAATCAGAAATATGTCTCAGCTTTCCTACACAGTACAATTTGTCATCAATTACCTGGTAATAATAAACCATGATTTTATTGCTAAGTATATGTCTATACTTTTAAAAATGTTACTTTTATTTGATCTCTATTCAAAGTTTCATGTGTATTTGTACAAATTTCAATTTGTGCTAGTATCAATTTCTACAATACAGTATTTCAGTTTCACTTGTATATTCTGAATTAGCAAATTCCCTTTTATTCAAATCAATATATATTTTAGGTACCAGCAAGCCCTAACTACAACCGTTGTATTCTTAGGTATGATGTTATCTTCAACATTTTGGGGTAATCTAAGCGACAGATATGGCAGGAAACATGTAAGACACAACAGCTGAATGTAAACCAGTTACTATACTTTTGTTTCAGGCACTTACGTTGTGTGCGATATTGTTATTTTATTATGGACTTTTAAGTGCTGTTGCACCTAGCTTTATGTGGTTATTGCTACTACGAGGTCTGGTAGGATTTGCCATAGGGTGTACTCCTCAATCGTGAGTTGTTTAATAAGTTCTGCAATATTTTGTTTTCTTTGAGTGAATTGGATTTAGGCTAATACACTTAGTTTATCACATGCTCTTGGATTATGGTGAATCTTAAAGGAAGAAATAATAATGATATTGTTTTTTGAACAGAAAAATCAATCCTTGTGAAAATAATGGAGTGCATAACAAATTATTTTACAAAGTGCTTACAACACATTATTTTTCCGAATATTCTTTTAGTATCTAGGAGATGAAAGTCAATATGGAGTTTTTGTCCTTTTTTTATCATTCTCCAAGAGCTCTGCAAGATGCATTCTAGACAAGCTTTCATTTTTTGTGTATATATAAATGCCTTTGGACCATTTTTTTTTGTAGTGTTACCTTATATGCAGAATTTTTACCCACAAAACAAAGAGCAAAGTGTGTTGTACTGCTTGATGTAAGTTCATGTGTAATCTTAGTTATTGTTTTCGTTAAATGTTGAAATATTTCAGTGTTTTTGGGCTTTGGGTGCATGTTTCGAGGTAGCTCTAGCTGTAGTCGTAATGCCTACCTTAGGTTGGCATTGGCTGTTAGCTTTGTCTACAGGGCCATTGCTTGCTTTTGCCCTGATTTGTCCAGTAAGTGAAAAAAATCAGTATGGTTAAGTGCTTAACTATAAAAGTTTTTCAATTTTACATTTGATATCCCAGAGGTAGAAGACAGGATCCAGACAACATACTTTCAGTAGATGAACTAGATTAATTCCTAACTAGAAACTTAGCCTATTCATATCTAATAGGTAACACTTTCTTGTGAAAGTTCTTGTTAATTTTTAACACAATGATTCATAAAACAGTAAACAATGGGCTACCTAAAATAGGACTTATGTCACTGTTTGCTATTTTCAGACTTTCGGAAGTATCTAAAAGTCTAGGGTAATTCCATTTTGATTTGAAATGGACATTGTCTTTTACCTTTGAGATACAGAATTATATTCACTATCCATGATGATAATCATAGAAGTTTAACAATAAATTTCATTTAGAATGCGTTTTGTGATACAGGCACTTCATCAGTTACTGGTACCAGTAGCGGTAACTGATGAAGCTACCGTGTAGCGAAACACGTTTAAAATAAAATTATATTTATCAGAATTATTTTGTTTCTGAAGTATTCACCAGTTGAATAAGTCACTTGAGAAACCCCTCTTACCCAAACACATATTGTTAATATCGAAATTTGGCCTTCCTTGAGTAATCTATCTGAGAGGATTGGAAAAAAACTAAAAAAAAAATCAGATCTGTCAAATTTTAATACCAATGCAATGCTTTTGGACAAGAGGAGTTTCTCAAACGACTGATTCAGTTTTAATATTATATTTTCAATCGCATGACATTTAACTGTGTTTTTCCTACAGTGGTTGCCTGAATCTGCTCGATTCCATGTTGCCAGTGGTCAAACAGAAAAAGCTTTGGAAACTTTGGAAAAGATTGCCAAAGATAACGGCAAACCGATGCTTCTTGGTAGGCTTGTTGTAGATGATTCAATCACTATGCCGCCACATAGAGGAAGGTTTCGTGATCTTCTGGTACCATCTTTAAGGATGACCTCTCTTTTGTTATGGTTCATATGGTGAGTGAGAAACAGTAGTGAATAAGGTTTCATATTTTTGATTGGCACTTGATCTTTTTCAAATAGATTTTTATTATTTTGATATACAGAACTGTTCAAATTTGAAGACTCGAATTTCAGTAGCCTTCCTGTATAGTAAATTATTTAGTAGTCAGTTGCATTGCATTTTGGAGTTATTTTCCCAAATTTCAACCTATTCCCAGGATGGCTTGTGCGTTTTGCTACTATGGTCTTGTTTTAATGACAACTGAGCTGTTTGAAACATCATCCATCGTTTGTTCTGACAAACCGGTTCCAATTCAGGCCTTAGATACTTGTGCTGCAGAATGTAAGCAGCTGCAAACCACAGATTATATGGATTTGTTGTGGACAACCTTGGCTGAATTTCCAGGTTAGTGGTTTAGACGAATGAATGTAAATAAATTCTCCAAAGATTCTTTGCAATTGTCTTGTATTGTATGAACGTTAACAGGTATTTTCATCACTATTGCAACCATTGAAAGATTTGGACGAAAGAAAACAATGGCAGTTCAGTTTATAGTATATGCTGTTTGTTGCTGTTTCCTTATGGTTTGCACCGAAAAGTAAGTTGATTGATGATTTGGCGCTTCCAAAATTTCCTTTTTTTCGAGTGTTTATTTGAACTATATTTTTTCAGGAGAGTATATCTTACCCTTATGCTCTTTTTGGCCCGTGGTATCATAGCTGGTGTGTTCCAGGCTGCATATGTTTATACTCCCGAAGTGTATCCAACCTCTCTGAGGGCTGTCGGGGTGGGCGCTTGTAGTGCTATGGCCCGTTTTGGAGCAATGGTAACTCCATATGTAGCCCAGGTAAGGTGTACGGTATGTCAGGAATACAGGATGTATAAACAATACATAGGAATGACAACTGATTCCCAATTTGAGATAATAATAATAATAATAATTATCAGTATATAGGGTGTTTCTTCATGAAACGCCCCATAAATATAAAGGGTTATCCATTTAGTGGTTTCAAAACCGCTGGTCTGCCAAGATCGTCAGCAGTTAAATATCTGTCATCTGAAGTGTCATTTATTTAGTGAAAGATTTGCCATTCACGAATATGGATCGTTTAACAATTAAAGAACGTATATAACGTGGCCACTTTTCGAGCATTACAGGGAGATTATGGTCGTCATAATCGCCCTACTGTGCAAGGAATTGGCAAGATTAAAAAAACATTTTTGAAGAGACTGATTTCTATATTGCTATCTTGGTAAAGGTAGAAGATATGTTAAATTAAACATAAAAATGTAGAAATGCAATGTAGTTATTATTATCATTTATTCTTAAATTGAAGACGCTATTTTTTAGGAGTGATTGATTTTTGGGAAAGAAAGTTTTTGGCTTTCCACATTTCTTTGTATCAAGATGGAGTAGCAGAAAACCAAAACCTTTCTTTTACATTTGTTTTTATTTTTCTGCTCTGGTATCTTTACATTATAAAGAATCAAAAAAATTTTTTGACTGTTTCTGATTGAACTCCTTGAAGGCTATAGTATGCACTCATTTTGTCTTTGTTATCATATGACGTTTCATTAACTTCGGGCCACCTTCATCAATTTTTTTCAAATAAGAAATATTCTGAAATGCCAACAGCATGACTAAGAACACTGACAGGGAAAAGTAGCTCAATTTACTCTTTTTAGAAGAACTACAGACAGTTTTGTTGGCATTGATAATCATAGAATTATTAGAATATGACTTTGTGAATTTTGCTGACACTGAATTGAAATTCTGCAATGTATCAATATTATCTACGCCGCTTCTAGATTGGTTGTAGTAGTCGATCCTTTTGAAGTAGTTTTCGACCACATTTCAGACGGTATCTAAGCGATAAATCAATTTTCAAATGATCCATTGTTAGGGGATTATCCGCGTAGATACGATCTTTGATGTAGCCCCACAAAAAAAAGTCCGACGGCGTCAAGTCACATGATCGTGGTGGCCAATTGACGTCGCCAAAACGTGAAATTATACGCTGTAGAAACTTCTAGTGCAATAAAGTCATAATCGGTCTTATTCTGAGACTCGTGGTACAGTTTTGTTGAAGTTACATCTTCAGTTCTTCCAGATCGATTATGACGATCATAATTAGCACACTGTGCAAGGAATTGACAAGATTATAAAAATATTTGAATGGACTGGAAGCGTAACAGATGTGGGCAGGCTTGTGCATCATCGTAATGGTGAAAATATCACTTGTTTTAGTGAAAGTGTGGCTATCTTACAGCTGCATTTAGATTTGCACCTCCATCTATAATCTATTTAAAGTCCAACTCATACATCAATTAAAGCCGGCTGACCAACCACAACGCCGTAGATATGCTAATTGGATGCTAGAGCAACAGGTTTTAAATAGTGATTTTTAAAACAAAATTTTTTTCAGCGGTGAAGCTCATTTCTCCCCCTCGGTGGTTACGTTAACAAGCAGAATTGTCGCAAAATGGGGCTCGGATAACCCAGAAGTGATTTTGTCATTGCATCTGGAAAAAGTTATTGTTTGGTACGCATTATGATCTGGAGGTCATTGGGCCCCATTTTTTTTTAAATGCCACTGGAAGAATGGTTTCCGTCTATGCAGAGTGCTATGGCCCTATAATAACCGACTTTTTTGGCCTGCAATTAAAGGTTATGAACTGGACGATGTGTGGCTTCAACAAGACGATGCCAAGAGACACCCAACACGACTGATTTTGACTTTATTGCACGAGAGAAGTTTCTACAGCGTGTGACTTGACGCCGATAGACGTTGGAGCATCTGAAAACCAACATTCGTCAATTTAGCGGCGAGATACCGCTCGAAATGTGGTCGAAAACTACTTCAAAAGAATCGAGTATTGCAACCAATCAAGAAGCGGTCATTAAAATGATATGGTATTTTTTACATAATGGCATAAAAATCATAGCTTTATGGGTGTTTTGTTCAACTTTACTTTTGAAACCCAAAAAAGAATAACCCTTTATTTTCCCTCAATTGGTTTCATTGAAAAGAGTTCTCAAAATTATAGATTAGATTTTATTTCCAACATAATACATGATTGCTATAATAACATGATAATATTAGATAGGCTCAAGGAAAGTTGTTTGGGTTTTGATCGGGTTGGGGTCTTACCTGCACTGATGAGAGGTAATACCTCGAAACCGATCTGTAGGTGATCTATTCGACTGATTTCAGCATGGTCCTGATGATGGATGAACGAGAATAATTTGCGAGACTGTACTCTTTGAGGTTTAAAAAAAATCTGTTTTGTCTATCCACACATTGTTTATACGTTATACATCGTCTAGCAATGCTTTTCTTATTCAAAGATTCAGCTTTGCGAAATTTACCGTACTTTGATCAAAACAAATCAATAATGAAGGTTGTTTTTATGCAAAACAGGTGTTATTAAAATCGTCCATCACATTTTCAACAACTATATATGCAGTGGCGGCCATTTTGGCAGCTGTGGGCTGTCTGTTGCTGCCGATTGAAACAAGTGGTCAGGAACTTACTGACAACGTCCAACAACAAGCCAAGGCAAATTCGAATAAACGATGAGGGAATTTTCGAACAGGGAAATCGACAGAAATACTCACTTTCTTTTTATTTTCTGGAAAGACTTCGAAATACTGCCTCAGTATTAACTGCAGTTACTAATGCTTTAAACCAAAGTTTCTCATTATTTTTATACACTTTATTTATTGTTATTTATTAATTTTGTAGTTGATAGTTCTCATATGTGATTAATTTCGAACAATGTTGGTGCTGGTTAATTTTTTTTTGATTATTTATATCTTTATACAAAATAATAAAAATCAAATATATCTGTGTTAAGGCTACCGATAATTGATGTAGTTGAAACATCCCCTATCCTATTTTGTCAAGTGGACAAATAAAATCGTAGTGCACAAAAAATTCAACTCAAACGGAATTTTATTATAATTAGAGCTGTAATAGTGATTTTTCATGCAAACGTTTCCTTCATCTTCTCATTAGTAGATGGCGCCACAGATTCAGTTTCAGATCATTTCCTTAATGTGATATACAGGGTGTCCCGGTTCTTGACGATAAACCTTGAGGTGGTGATAGCTGAGGTGTTGACTAGCTCATAACAGGAAAAAAGTTTAGGTAAAAGTGTTTTCGTTTTCGAGATATCGGAAATTTTCTTTTTTTAGAAAATCGGCGACTCGGTTTAGTATTTTCAATGTTACGTCATAAAAACATGACTTATCCACAGCAAAAAAAAACGATAAGAACTAACGATCGCTGCTCTGAACTGGATTTTGAAACTGTTTTGTGATTTGGATATTTTTAATAATGCCGGCTTATTATACTCTACTGCAATATGCGAATATGCATTTTATTTCCGGCGAATGTCGCGGTAATGCAAATGCAGCAGCCCGGTTGTATCGAGAGCGGTATCCAAACGAGGAGAGATATCCGGATTACCGAGTCTTCATTAATGTGCATCGATCCTACACGGAAGGAGTAATTCCTGGAAGACAGGTAAATCGCGGTGCAGGAAACATCCTTGGTCCAGATGTTGAAGAAGAGGTTTTGGATGCGTGGAAAAGAGTCCAGATATTTCGGTACGTGCGATTGAAAGACAAATTGGAATTCCAAAAACTGTTGTGCATCGCATTCTTCGACTGCACAGGTACCATCCATACCACTTGCAAAGAGTGCAAACATTATTGCCACGAGATCATGCACCAAGAGTTTTGTTCTGTCAAAAAAAGACAACTTCATGAATATGCACAACTTGCACTGCTGGAGCTTGGCTAATCCACATGCCATCAGAGAAGACCGCTCACAATACCAGTTTAAAATTAATTTGTGGTGCGGAATCATTAATGGCCAAGTAGTAGGACCCATTGAAATACCTGGAGCGTTTAATGGTCAATACTATTTAGAATTACTAAGGGACGAGTTGAATGGCCTTTTAGAAGATGTTCCTCTCGCAACGAGACAAGGCATGTGACACACTACGCCCGGCCTGTAAGGGATTACCTAGAAGAAGAATTTCCTGGCAGATGGATTGGTCGACTTGGACCAATTCTAAACCGATAGAAACTGTAAAAAATCTTCGTGATCGTATTAACGGCGCAATCGATAACACAAGGCAGGATTTGTGACACGCTCTTTTATTAGCAGATGTCGTACCTGTATCCGGGCAGGTGGTGCTCAATTCGAGCATTTATTGTAAAAGCTTTTAATAAAGTTTGCTTAAATGATTTATTTGATTTTTATTTTTTAATTACAATACATAGTACTGTATCTCGTCGTAGAGCATGTTGGGGCCCCTGAATACACACTAATTTGGGGCGATATTGGAAAATAATAATTATATGCCTATCCCCATAAGTTGCATCCTCCTATAGATTTGTTTTGATTTCCAGATAGATCGCTTATGTAAAATTTTTTTCACCATTTACATTGAATCATTCTGAAACCTATGTATCTCGATTCCCCTCAAAAAAAACAAACTAACCTCTTACTATTGGAAATTTCTGGACTGTATCCATTAAATAATTTGTCAGGTAAAGGCAATTTTTGTTTCTTTTTCTCTTTTGTTTGTTTTTATTCTTATTATGTAAATAAAATTTATTATGTAAATAATATAACGTGTTTGAAAACTTTGACTTGAGCTCATAAATGTGATTTTGTTTCTAAAGGTTGGAAGATATTATAACGACTATGCATGTTAAAAAAATAATCTTATACAATGTGACCAGTAGAGTCTTTATCATATCAGATTTCTTTATTTTTAATTTGACTTTGACCTCATTTCTGCTTTGGTCAAAACAGTTATGATTCATGTGACACTGAATTTATTTGTTTGTGACCCTTTATAACGTCGAAAAAAATGAAAATCGTATTATCGATAGGGCGAAAATATCCAAAATGATTTGAAATCTCCTAAAGAAGTAATAAAAAGAAGAATTAAAGGGAATAGCTGAAAATATCAATTATATTAAGCAAAAAAACCTGAAATTAAATAACAGTGAAATAAAATACAAGTAAATATAGAACAATTGAACAAAAAATTAAAAATTGAGAGATTCCAAGCCAAGTTACTTCACGACGTTTCGATTGGTATCCACAATCGTCTTCGGGTTATTACTGCACTGATTCCTCCGAGAGATGACTATTTATGGGTCATTCGAGTACTTTCACTTATCTCTGCTTTCCTTTTTCCGCTTCGCCGGTTTAGCGGGACATGACCGTTTGCCGGAGGTTGGCCATTTTTCGCTTGTAAATGCAGTTCTTGAAATCACAGTTCGCGTTTGGTGGCCTGGTTTTCGTGAGGCTACTAAGGATAGTGTTTCCGGATCTGAAGCAGGTTCTGATGTTGTACTTGGACCCAATTCTTCTTATCCTCTCCGATAATCCTCTGATGTAGGGTAGTGCTAGCACTGGTTGTGACGGCTTCTCTTCCTTGCTAGGCTCCTGCTGTTTTTTTTTGCCAAAGTCTGTTCCACCATCGCTTTGGAGTAGCGATTCCGTTGAAGATCATTTTTGATGATGTCTAGCTTCTTCTCGAGACCTTCCTTCGTATTACAGAGCCCGAAAGCACGGTCTAATAGAGTCTTGATGATTCCTCTTTTAGTCGATTGATGGTGGTTGGATTCGTGGTTCAGATACTGTCCCGTGTGAGTGGATTTTCGGTATACAGAAGTTTCCCACTTAGTGTCGGTCGGTAATATCAGACAATGGAAGTCCGAACTAATGAAAAAAACAATATTTGAAACGAAATTACCCCACGAAGATTTGATAATGTAAAAAATGAATTTGAAAACCAACTTCATTATTGTCAGAACGAGAATGGTGAATATATTATGGGAATAAACTGGAGTGAGTATCTTGAAATTATATCAACAGTTTGTTTGCAGATTCTTCAAACGAACATAAATTGCTAATTACTCAGGAATGGCTGATCTGATTTCCCAAAATGAGAATGTATTGGATAGGTAATTGAAATACCTATCAGCCGAGGTATTACGAGACCCTCCAGTTCCATTTGGGATGTTGGTAACGCTCTTCTCGGCGAAGAGTGGTGTGACACTTTACTTTTTGCTTGACCTTGATATCTTGTCCAGTTGAAAAGTTTGGAGAGCGGAGTACTCTTACGTCCGCACTGCATATTCGTCCTTAGTATCAAATTGGCTTGTGTACAAAAGTACAATTATACCAATGGTATTTAAACATTCTGTAATATATTTTCCAAAATATATTGTGTTCTAGGTATTTGTTGGATGGTAAACTTTGAACCATTTCCCATCTTGTTTTTCCAAGGTATAAACGAGCACTGTACAGATTCCACCTCATTTGCATCTTCCTGCTCAAACAACCGAATGAGTTTTTTTACTCGCCATAATCATTAACGGGAATATCTCTGATAATTATTATTCAGAGAAATTTTCGGCCTCGCTCGAACGGCGACAGCAAAATAGAACAGAATCTCAGACATTTGTGTTTCGTACTCTGTTGCCAAATGGTATTTACTGAATTTACTATATTGTTAGACAAAAATATTTATTAATGTTCACTCCAGTCAAACTTTCTCTTTAGGACTGGATTTTGTGATGTTCCATTAAAATTTACAATTGCAGCACTTTTATATTACCAGCGAGTACTGAAGCCAACAAATGCTTGATAGGATGGTTAAATTTCTTAATGAAAGTGTCTCATTTGATGTTCTTCTGTATTTAAAAAAAATAAAGGAAGATAATACATGAAGCAATGTGATGTAACTATTCAAGTAAAGTGTGTGACTATAGGGGCTTATTTGTCGACTCTTTGGTACCTACATTTTTTCACTCATATGTATTTTTGACATGTTAATTTAAGATTGTGTCCAACATCGTAAATAAATCCTATGGCTTTATGTAACTAATGACTTTTGATAAGTCTGTACCTAATCAGACTAAATCTGTTTACAACAAAATTATTTTGCTGTAAAAAAGCGTGCTGAATATCCATTGTTATAAATACTTGGTTAGGAGCTGTTTGCCATATTGGAGCTAATAAAAATATAATTTGAAAATTATTTTTTGTAAATAGATTTTTCCTGATTTCAGACTAACTAAAAGTCATTAGTTACATCAAGCCATAGGTCTTATTATCGATGCTGAATACAATCTTAAATTAGTTTCGAATTATTTTTCAGTTTGTGTTGCTATTGAACCGTTTTCTTTTAGTTTTTGAACTATTATTTATTGAAATATACAGATAATATTTCTCTCCAAAGAATATATAATGTAAACAATTTCCATAAATATGTTATTTTCATATTCATCAATTTTTAATATTTTGAATCTTCGAGGACAGCTACAAGAGAATCTACAAGAAAATTAAAAATCGCGAAGCAATTCTGCCATCATTTTCTTGATCTTCTGTCTTATTAGGCTTTTTTTAGGATCTATACCTCTTCTCTGATTTTTATTTTGTATATAAAAATTCTATTTAAATTAATATAAAATGGACTAACCAAATTCGGAGGCAATCTCTATCAGAAATTTTCAGTGACTTGTTCTTGGCGATTTTGATTTTTCTTTTGATTTTACATGAAGAGAAAATCATATACAGTGTCATCCTCAAAGTACGCACCATATCGGAAACTTTTTTATTAAGGGGTTTTCGACAAAAGGTATTCTTGATAAAAATTTGTGCATCCCCTAAAACTAAAAATGACCAACAAAATACAGTACAACACACGTAATATACGAGGAGCCTTCAAATATTTGATTTTGTGACAAGAGTAAAGTACTCTTGTTTTGAGGAATTTCGGGAAATGTTATTCAGAAAAGTTGTTTAGCATTGAAAATAAGTGTTTTAAGTTGAAT